CGCAAGGGGCCCGGGGGGGGGGGGAAAAGTAGGCACGGTGACGTCACCTCCCTGGGAGGAATTTACAAAGCCAGTCACACACCTTGGCCAGGAAGTCAGCCTCGTGTCATGGCCCCCCTCCCCACGGGGTGCCATGGCTTCACACATCCCGCTTAATGGGACGTCTTTAGGCAGCTAATGCGGTGCAGCCACAATTAAACCCGACAAGCAAACATAATGGGGCCCTGTCTGTTGATGGGCCTTTCACTCTGAGAGCTCGGGCAGTTTTATGCGTCTTGGGGGGCCCTGATGCCGCTTTTCAGGTGGGTAAACTGGGGTGCATCTCTGGGAGGAAAGCCAGAGCAGGGCTCCAGTCCAGTTACTGATCTGTGATACTGGCCATGAACTTGGTTCCCAAGGTCCATCCTCAGGGTAGGATGGTCCACCAGGCTTCAACAGGAAGCTTAGTTTAGTTTAGTTCTGTTTTCTTCAGGATTTGCTGGACCTTCTTACAGACAGTCACACTGGGGCTCAGCTGGCTTGGCTTAATGAGCAGTGGGAGGTGGATAGGAGAGCGGAGGATGGGTGTCGAGGGGGAAAGAACATTGCCCTGGGGGCTTTGTCCCCAACACTACCTGGTACGAAGCAGAGGTCTGGGCCTGGCTTGGCCTCCAGCTTGCTGTGTGACTTTGGACAAGTCATTGCCTCTTTGGCTTACAGTTTCCTCGCTTGTGAAACGAGGGGTTTGGGGTAGATGCTCTAAGTCGGTGCTTCTCAAATCTGAACATGTGTTGAATCACCTGGGAATCTCCTTACGACACAGGTTCTGTTTCAGCAGGTCCAGGGCTCTGCACTTCTGACAAGCAGCTCGGCGACGCCTGTGCTCAGACCATGCTTAGAGTGACGGGGCTCAGGCCAGGTCGCCTGTGATCCCTCCAACGTGCCATGGTCTCAGCCACCACCTTCCCCAGGGCACTGTTTGAAGAACAGACAGGCTACTGGTGTGAGAGCACTTTGTAGGCTGCAAAGTCCTGAACAAATGTATGTGTTTAAGACCCACAACAGTGTGATTAAGACTCAATGTTTGGAGACAAAGGCACCTCTCATCCGCTAACAACCTCTTGGGCAAACGCATCATTTCTCGGAGCCTGTGAAATGGGGGTGACAGCACCCACCTGGCAGGCTTGTTATGAGGATTAAGTAAAGCAAGATGGTTGAGAGCAGCACCCCACAGAAGGCGCCGGGCCACCAGTGCCCCCTCTTTATGGATGGGGATGGCCAGGGAGCTGCTGCGGCCACCCTCGCCCATGCTTTCCCCTCTCATCCTAGAGTCCAACCTGCCAGGTGATGGCATAACTGCCACCTGGTCCCCAGGGTCCCCCGAGTCCCACCCAGCACCTCCCCTTTCCCCGCTGTCCTGGAGGCGGGGCCCCAGCTGCTCTCCAGGTCCCCTGAGTGTGTTGACTCCACCGGGAGCAGCTGGGGAGCCTGTGAGCTGGGCCTCAGCTGCCGAGGGGCTCGGGGCAGGAGGGAGGCGCAGGTCAGGGAGATCCGAGGTTCATTTCCCTTGGGAAACGGCCGCCCCGAGGTGCTTGGGCGGGCTTGGCTGTCAGTCTCCATGGCGATGCCGTTTGTGGGTGGAGGCGGGCAAGGCGGTGCCAGTGGATGCTGAGGGCAGGCTCGGAGCCCCCCACTGGCCAGCAGGGGCGTTTCCTTTCCCCACCCCGACCTCGCGTCCGACCCGCTCTCCCTCCACGAGCCCTGGCGGGGTGGCGGGGTGGCCACTGTGGCAGCCGGGACGCTGCCAGATGAAGACTCTCTCAACCCCTGCAGTGAAGCCCGGTTATGTCTAAACAGAACAATTGCCCTAATGGCTGTCGGTGCTGACTCTCCGGTCAGCATGGGTCTGACGATGAGAGACGCCTTACTCAGCCCACTGGCCACGGAGAGCCTCCTGCAGGCCAGAGCTGGGCCCCTGGGGAGGGGGCTCAGGGGACCTGGTGCCCAGCCCAGTCCTGTCTGAACTGAGCTCCACGCTCCAGGCCAGGGGTCTCTGACCAAGACTGGGGTGTCTCTCAGTTTGTAGGTATAAAGCTTTCGGTTTATAGATGTGTAATGTTTACATGATATACTTAAATATACAGAAAAAGAAAAGGAAACTATCTCATTGTCTACACCAGATTCCGGGGAGCGCACTGGCCCGCGTTCTCATTCTGACCATGCTGCAGAGCCAATAGCAGGAAACAAACCAACTTGCCCGTTTAAGGTAACTGAGGTGCTGGTTTGTGACAATCTGTCTTGTATTCTTTCACAGTCACTTGGGTGAGTGATGAATTCAACATTGAAACTGCACATCGGGGCTGTTACTGCTTATCTCAAGGGTGCCCGAGGGCACCCTCCTGGTGTAGGAGAGTGGGGGTCTGCCCTCTGTTTGCAGGTCCCCCTGCCCCGTCCCAGGTGAGGCCCTGGGGCTGCTCCTAGGGGGGCGGCGCCATCTCCCCGGCTGGCCAGGCGCCCCCCACCTCAGCTCTCCTGGCCCCAAAGATGCCTGAGTCCTGGTCGTGACAAAACCTCCTTCCCAGCCTGGGTGTGTGGCACCCTGCAGCCTTGTGGCTGCTTTGCCTGCTCCAGCTCCTTGGCAAATCTGCCAGGCAGCACTCTCAGCCCCTCCTGAAGCTTCATGGGGAGAGGAGCAGGACCTTGGAGAAGCCCCACATGCCTCAGCAAGGCCGTAGGGAGCTGGGGGACAAGAGCACAGGACCACCTCTCCAGACACCTAACCTGCTGCTCTGTCCCTTTTTGGATGTGGCCCCATGGGGACCGCTGGGCTTTTCTAAGGGGCCTGCCATTCGTGGGTCCATATACTAAGAAGCTAGGAGGGTGACTTCTGCATGGGGACCCCCACCAAACTCTCTGGGTGTTTCTACCCCTAACTTACACTTCTTTCCTCCCCTGAATGGAACCCGGTGGTGTGGGGGAGGGCAGGACCCACCCCGGGTCTCAGGAGTGTCTTCCTTCTCCTTCTGTTGGGTGGAAGGCTCTCTACATCATCCCCTTTCTACGTGGACAAGAAGTCTCCCAGATTAGTCTAATCACAGAGGAACTACAGGGAAAAGAAGAAAAAAAGGCCTGGACCACATTAGGGGAGATTTGAAAGCCATCCACTGCTTTACACAGAAATCTCACAGCAGCCCGGGGGACAGAACTGGGCTAGGACTTGGAGCCAGAAGGAGTGGTTTGTGTCCTGGCCCTGCTCCTGCCCGGCTCTGCTTTTCTGGACAGAAGAGCTTCTGCAGAGACAGGGATGTGGGAGCCGTTTGGGAAGACGGGGTGGGTGGGGGCGAGCCTGGGAGCTCCTAGGTGTCAGCACAGGATCGCATGCACATCAGGACCCTTGGAGCTCCGCTTGTTTGGGAGTG